GCGTCAAGGCCATCCTGCTGCGCTGCGCCGGCTTCAACAATGTCGACCTCGACTCGGCCCGCGGCCACGGCATCATGGTCGCCAACGTGCCCTCCTACTCCCCCGAGGCCGTCGCCGAGTTCGCCGTCGCCCTGATCCAGACCCTCAACCGCAACACCCACCGCGCCTACAACCGCGTCCGCGAGGGCAACTTCGCCCTCAACGGCCTGCTGGGCCGCACCCTCTACGGCAAGACCGTCGGCGTCCTGGGCGTCGGCAAGATCGGCCTGGCCACGGCCCGCATCATGAAGGGCTTCGGCTGCAAGGTCCTCGCCTTCGACCCCTTCCCCACCCCTGCCTTTGAGGAGTACGGCGAGTACCGCGACCTGGACGGCCTGCTGAGCGAGTGCGACGTCATCAGCCTGCACTGCCCTCTGATGGAGAAGACGCGCCACATCATCAACGAGGAGACCATCGCCAAGATGAAGAAGGGCGTCCTCCTCATCAACACCTCCCGCGGCGGCCTCGTCGACACCGGCGCCGTCATCCAGGGCCTCAAGAGCAGGCAGATTGGCGGCCTGGCTCTCGACGTCTACGAGGGCGAGGGCTCCCTCTTCTACGACGACCACTCGGGCGACATCATCGACGACGACATCCTCATGAGGCTCATGACCTTCCCCAACGTCCTCGTCAGCGGCCACCAGGCCTTCTTCACCGAGGAGGCCCTCCTCGAGATCGCCACGTCCTCCGTGCGGAACCTGCACGAGTGGGTTGTCCGCGGGACGTGCCACAACTCCCTGACCAAGGACTCACCCACCGAGTCCGGCCTCACGAGCCCCGTCCGGGCCATCTAGTGTGGTTCTCTTTTTTCTTCTTGTCTTCTCGTTTAGCCAAGCCTGTCTTTGGAAGTTGGGATGTGTTGTCTGGTTATTTGAACGGTTTTTTTTATTGGTTGTTTGTGTTTTTTTCTAATGGAAACAGAATTATGAAATACCCAGGCCTGTCTATCCTATATGTAGTTGTCTATCCAAACCTATTATATGCCCGTGTTCTATACCCGAGTTCTATGTCATGAAATAAAGAAAAAAATAGAAAGGAAAATGTGATAAGGAAAACTTGCTCAACTCTCTCCCCGTCCATGATCCATCAAGATCCGGACTCTCCCGCTCCACTCCCTCTCGCTGCAGCAACCCCAAATGTCAGCTTAAGGATTGCTAACGTAACTCCTCGCCCTCCTCAGATCCTCATCGTCGGTGGGATCGTCCCGCACCAGCGCACCTCCATGCGTGTGCTTGTGGTGCACACCCTCCTTCTTCCCCTTCTCCACATCCGACGCGGACCCGGAGTCGGACTCCTCGTCACCGGCATACGCGTACTTGCTCCTCTCACGGATCTTGGCACCGTAGCGCCAGAACAAAAAGGGGATGCCGCAGCACGCCAGGCTGATGAAGGCGAGCAGCGTCGACGCCCAGCGGTCGTTGAGGCGGTCGTACATCTGCTCGGTGAAGAGGACGACGGCGGCGCCCCAGAAGCTGCGGATGAAGGTCTTGGCGGCGAGGGCGGAGGCGGCCTGGTGCTGGTACGAGTCGACGAGGTAGTTGTTGGCCGAGTTGTAGAGGAAGATGAAGCCGAAGCCGACGGGGAAGCCGCCCATCGCTGGCCCGGCCCAGGAGAGCTCCGGGTAGGCGGTCCAGGCGAAGATGAAGAGGCCGATGGGGATGAACCAGCAGGAGAGCATCATGGGGATGAGGCGGACCTCGGCGGGCGGGTGGCCGTTGTGCTTGGCGACGAGGTGGAGGTAGTGCTTGTTGACGAAGGGGGCGCAGCAGGCGGAGAGGATGACGCCGACGGCGACGGGGATGAACATGAGGCCCGTCTTGCCGGCCGAGTAGCCCTTGCCCTTCTGGTAGATGATGGGGAAGGCGACGAAGAACATGTAGAGGAGGCCGTAGAGGACGCTCATGTAGAGGGAGATGAGGAAGACGATGAGCTCGCCGAAGAGGAGCTGGAAGGGCCTGATCATGAAGACGGCGAGGCGCTCCTGGATGGGGCGGGCGTCGATGTCCTCGGCGGTGGCGTGGCGGTTGTCGCCGGTCTCGGCGCGGAGCTTCCTGGCGCGGCGGGCGAGGATGGTGGGCGCGTAGGTCTCGGGGACGGTGAAGGTGATGAGGACCCAGATGATGCCGGAGAAGATGAGCTGGATCCAGTACAGCCAGCGCCAGCCGGCAGCGTCGGAGAGGTAACCGCCGATGAGAGGACCAACTGCGAGGAACATGTTAGCTTACTTGGGGGCCTTCGAAAAAAAGGGGTAAAGGCAAGTGTTCATATTTGGGATTACATACTGGCAGGGCCAATGAATGGCGCAGCAGAGAAGGCAGCCATGGGAACACCACGCTCCTCGTTCCTCCAGAGATCGGCAAGTGTACCTCCGACCAGAGTCATCGGGGCAGAGAAGGCAATGCCGTCAATGGTACGGCAGATCAGGATCGTCTCGATGTTCTTGGCCACCGCACTAGGGATGATGAAGACGACCGCAACGAGTAAAGTTGAACCGCTGGAAACAAAATACACGTCAGCACCCAATTCAACCTCATCAGGGGAAAGAAGGCGGAACCATAAGACTTACTAGATGATCCTCCGACCATACACCTCAGAAAGGGGCGCGAAAACCATGGGACCAACACCGAAACCGACGACAAACAGGGAGATGCTCGCCAGCGTCAGCTCCTCGCTGGCGCCAAACTCCTTGGCCACGCCGGCGACGTCGGCGGTGATGACGGACGACGCGAACGCCACGACGAAGCAGGTCATGGCGACGACCATGGTGATGTACCACTTGTACCCCTTGGACCAGTTCTTGGGGTTCTCCGGGTCGTCCGGGTGGAACGTCACCAGCTGGTACTCGACGGGCGTCTGGTCGCCGCCGACGGTCGCGCGGCTCTTGACCCGGATGGGCTCCTCGCCGGGGAGGGACTCGACGCGGTGCGTGGCCGCGAAGTCGTCCGCCGCGGCGCCCGCCGCCGTCGTGGGCTGGGTGACGGGCGCGGGGGACATGGAGCGGCGGTGCTCGTGGAGGGTGCGCACGTCCGAGTCCACGATCTCGTCCAGAGGCGCCATGGCCTCTTCTCTCGATCTTTGAGGATGATGATGCGGCGACATTGTGGATGTGGTTGTGTGTATGGAGAGTAACAGAAAGGTGATAGAAAGTAGTAGATAGATAGATAGCCCCTGAGAGAACCAAAGCTCTAATCCCTAATCTATAACGACAAAGGGGAAAGGGAAGAGGAAGAAGTAGGAAATCGGCAAAGGGGAAGGAAAACCCAGTGTTCTGATGCTCATCACAGCGAAGTCCAGCTCTCTCGATGGCTTCGATACGGGGGAGGACCCAGGCATATTTATACACCTTCCCCTCCGCCCGCCGTCCCGATCGCAGCTCTTCACATGGCCACGATGTAAAACCGTGCCCAGATGAAAATGGAGAGCTACATCACAGGCTCGGTACCTCCGTCCAGGTAGCTCGCAAGTACCGTGCAGCGATGTGTGAGGTTCGTGGCAGATGGAGCCCGTGGGAATAACCCAGAGCAAAATAAACCCATGGCCCAGGCCCGAAGCGGCCAAGCGCATCGTACCTACATGCCCATGCAGCCCAAACCAGCGCAAGAGGCAGAGCTTAGCAGGCGGCGAAAAGCTCCCGTTGGACGGCCGACCCATGATCCTTATCCAGGGCTCCATCAAAACCCATCAGAAATCATCGAGGCCGTCCCAATCAATGATTCAGTCCAGCCGGCGATCCACCCGCAGGGCCAGGCGGCAGACAGGCGACAGCCCGCCCCTTCATAGCCGTGATAACCGAGTGGCTCGCTGCGCGGTTCTGGACCGATTGAAACCTGCTTGTCTGCAGCCCCTTTAGCCCTTTCCTAGATCCGAGGCTGCTTGCCGGCGCACGATAAGAGATAAGGAACTCCAGATGAACCGACGGGTAGAAACGAGACACAAAATAAAAACGTCATACTGACATAAACGTCCGATCCACGAACTCCTCTACCACCTCCCACCTCCCACCAACAAACATTCCAATCCCGCAAGGGAAACACCCCCAAGGCAAAAGAGAAAGCAAAAATAAAGAACAGGTACAAAAAAGATACAACCAGAAACCCAGGCGTCAGAACCGCCTTAGCCTCAGTGGGGATAAACCGCCCCCTCCAGCCTATCACACGCCAGCAACATAGCGAGAAATCTCCGGTCCACCAAAAAAACACACACGCAAAGCCCCAAAAGTAAAACAGAGAAAAAGGACGACACGACAAATCAATTGGTATTATTCTCCTTGGGGATTGCGAAATCCCTCCCAAAGCTCAGGCCTGCGTTGGGGAGTCACACCCCCTCCCCCTTCCACCCTGGCCCCCCTTGGAAGAGACAGTTGGCGATAGCTTCACTTTGCTGTTTTTTTTGTCTGCCCTTTTAGAGGTTACGCACTAAACGGCTAAGCTTCTTTAACCACTTGTACCTACGTACCCTGCGCCCCCCTCTAGCTGCTTCTGCACGATCGCTGGACCCAGCTAGAAACATCCTTCCTCTCCACCACGGCGCCGATGTGGAGCCCGGATTCAACACGGGCTACACCGTGGGTCCCCGGCATCGGTTCACACGCCCTCCCTGCTCATCAGAGTCAGAGTGTTTATTACCTAGCGCAGCTCGCACGGGAGCGCTATCAGAAAGAGGCGAGAGGCGAGCTGAGCTTGTGCTCTCTGGGTCCACCCGCGAGCGTCACTCACTCCTAAACTCGCCGGGCCCAGCATCGTTGTCTTGTGCGTGGTAAAACTTGCTATTACGTAGCTGTGTGACAGTAGGTCGTCGGCTGAGGGAGCTATGTACAGATGGAAGGACTGTCTCCCCCTTCCCAATAATCCGTCCCGTAGATGTGGATCTCATCTAATCTACTCTTCCCATGCAATGCTGCCCTCCCATAACACCACCACCGAGTTCTGCTGCCTGACTTTGCATGGGCAGCACGTCGTCAGTCACCTCAGCTCCACGTCGACCCGAGAGATCCCATTCACCTCTTCAGCCAAGTCCACGCTGACCGTGCCACTCATCCTGTCTCCCATCCAGCTCGTTGCGTACCTGCTGATCCGTTCCGCCGGCGCACTCGTCCAGTGAGACGAAGGGCCGCCGTCGAATCCTGACGCACACCCGTCGCCGTCCGATGTGACCTTCGCGCTGCCCCTGCCCTCTTCTTCCGCGTCGGCCATCGTCACATCTCCATCTTGGTCGAGATAACGCAGGCTTCCGTCGCGCTGGACCACAGATTTGATACAGGGCCCATCCCTGCCCGTGTCCATGACCCACGTCCGGGCCCATCCTTCCGCGCTAAATGCCCATATTATCATCTCGAGCCTTGCGTCCAGGGCAATTTCCACAAGGTTGCTGCACTCTGCAACGACTTGTCCACGGACCTCCAGGGGATATACAGTGCTGTCTTTGAACGGGTCGCTAAAAATATCAATCTCGTGATATGTCTCTTCCACGCGCCACCAGACCCATTCAGAAGCTAATGAGTCCCTCGAGAGCCTTCCAGTCCCACCCGCCAGGTGTGTCTTCAGCCCAACCCGGGAGATGTCATGAAACATATCAGGTGGTATTGTGTAGAACACAATAAGTTGCCTATCCTCCACTCTCCCCTCTCTAGTAGCGTCCTTCCCGTTTCCACCCTCCCCCTCTTCCTTATTCCCATCTTGCATGAGGGAAAATGTGGCAATGATGCGAACCCCGTGCCGTACATCGGAGCCAGCTGTATAGAGTAGTGGCACTGGTGATGCTGCTCTCGGTGGAGGCGCGAACCAGACTTTGCGAATCAGGCGAGTGACTGATCCGACTGGTGCGTCAGTTCCCATGCAGAGGTTACCAGTCCGGGGATCTGTGAACAAAATGTGGTAGCCGTCACTGAGAGGGACAGCTCGGTAATGGTCCGCACTCCTTGCCGACACCTTCCTCAGCAAGGCATCGTGCGATGGTCCTGGCATCATTCTCTCTAGAAGATCCCTGCTGCGGATGACAGGCCGCTGCTGGTCAACGCTTGCTGTTATTGTATGCACCTCCCGGGCCGTTAGGTGCCCACGATTGGGCGCTGCTACAGACACAAACGAGGTCCTAATCACTCCGAGTGGTGGTTCACTGAACCCATGAATGTACCTGGCTGCATCGTTCATCGGGCTCCCGATACCGGCGGCAGAGCTGATGAGCCGAAGCTTCTTTGCACTGTCAATGCCTCGACGGAGTGGGAGGAAGTATAGGAAGTCGCTAGGTGAGGTTAGGGGGAACCATCTGGACAGGTCGTGCCCCGTCAGAGCATCCACCTAATGTAGCTCGATGCCAGAGGCACACCCAAAGGCAACACAGCTCCGCTGTGGGCACAATGCCACGGAGCGAGGTGGGTCATCGGGGTGGCAGATGTATCTGTACACTGCCTTGGAACCATTCTCTGCCAGCAAGGGTCGTGAAGGGGGTGATGTGCGACAAATACAGTCATACCCTTCGGAAGAGCTGGTTGCGGAGCTCGACCCTGACCACGTCTGAGAATCGACGCCTGCGGAGGGATAAAATACGCCGTTGCTTCCGCGAACCCCCAACTTTTCCAGCGAAAGGTCTTGGACCAGTCCAGCACGGCCCTCGAGCAGAAAGGCTACCGCATTTCTACCAGCTGATGTATCCATACTGAAGCTAATGATGGGCGCGGGACAGACGATCACGGTCACAGGCCGCAGAGAACCCAGTCCAAACCCCTGTCGCCCAGACCCCGGGGTAGACCATCCCAAGTACTCCGGAGAGCACGTATGGTTGAGCTCATATACATATGCTCTACGGTCAATCATGACGAGCAGGAATCGGCCGCAGAGGCTGGCAGCAAACGAGATGGCGCCATGGAGCGACCTCGGAGTCGATCCAGGGATAAGCCCACTGAAATCTGTCTGACCAACTTCTACAAAGGCATTCCGAGAGATGTCCGAGAGCGTCGTTTCTCTGGAGATCCATTTGCTCATGATCCTCAGGTCGTTGTCCTCGACGGAGGACGTCTCAGGCGGGGCAAGAATCCGAAGCACACTGGTCCACCAACCTCCACGCTTAAGCATTTGTATCAGCAGCGATCGGTCGTAGGAAGCGGAGAACCAAGTGCGGCACGTGTGACGGGCGGAGTTAAAGTCTACAGGGCTGAGGAGCCGATAAATCTGCTGGAGAATTTCCGTAGGAACGTTCATGGCAACCGAGGGTGCTGTATTATCAAGTCAGACAGTCAGACGGGGTTTCAACCTAGCCACCATCAGAGGACAAACCTAGAGAAGGAACATCGCCATCCGGAGCGGATACATAGCCGACATCAGGCATCGACACGCTCAAGCGGCGTCTCTTGGAGCCATCTCTGCCGAAGGGAGCATTAGTCATTGTAACCATGGCTTCGCTGCTTGCCAATTCCTTCTTGGCCCGCCGACGCCGAGAAGCCGCAACGCCTCTCGAGAGGAGAATTTGCCAAGACGTGGTGAGAGCAGCCCCGCTGGGAGGAGGCCGGGATAAGATACTAGGATGGGGAGATATAGGTATGTCATAGGGGCGGGGCCGGCGGTAAGTCTAATAGATGGATATGGGTTACATGAAGAAGAGCAAATCGAATGATCCCGGGTGGCAGCTAGTGAATGCTTCTCAAGTCAGTGTTGGCCGCTTGCCCGTTTAGTTGTCTATTCAATGACGCAGCTTGAGTGGCTCCTCCGTGCAAACAAGCTCTTCCTCGCATCAAATGTGCTATCGCTCTTTCCATTTCATCACATCGACATCAGAAACACTAGGGAAGGAAGTAGGAACGCCGTACTTCCCATCTTGCACAAGGAAAAGTACATATCAATATTATTCGCTGCAGACTAGCGGATGAACAAGGAAAGTAAGGTATAAATGGTATCGCCTTGCGCCGTGCCCGATGCATAATAAGTTCACGTGACTGCTGCATGTTTCTCTCTATCACCCATATCAAAAAGAGCTGTCGGTGTTCTGTCTCCAAACATTGGCGTCACCGATTCCAAGAGACGAATCCGTGCTGGGCACGATCAAAGAAGGCTGGTCCTCATCCGTTTCCAGGCTTTCTTCTTCAATCGGTGGTGGTGGATCTTCATAGATCCAAGCTCGCTCCAATCTGTTGCATAAAAGAGAGGATTAGTAAGGGTCAAAGATCCCCATGAATCGTGCTTGGTCACTTACGGGGTGACGAGACTTGGGTTGATGAACGCCAAATCCCGTTCCTTAATTTCATCAAGGGTGCTTCCGCGACGGACGACACTCCTAGACGGCCGGGGAATGGTCGCCTCTTCATCACCTTCCTCGTCGTCTATCACGGCAGTCTCGTCCTCCTCCGAGACCTCCTCCGCAGATTGGAGCGCCCGTAGCGCAATGTACTTCGTGAGAGGCTCGAAGCGTCGCTTGTAATAATAGCTATACCAAATTGTGAAGGGGAAGAGCGGAACGATAAAGAGAGACTTGATGTATGCACTGTGCGACGCAACCTGGCCAAACATGACAGTCTCAAACACCAACAGACCGACCATGATACGGTAGCATATCATTCTCCAGGCGCCGCCAGTAGCGTGCTGTGGCTGATCCATAGCGTAAAGAACCATGTACTTGAAAGTCATGTATCCGAGAGAAAAGTAAATGGTTCCAACAATGAGAATAATGAAGCCATATTGCACAACGCTGTAGATCAGACAGAGGTTGAAAACTAACAGCGCCGTAGGCAGGAAGAATCCATATTGAAACATTGGGGGCTTCTTGAGTGCCGCATAGTCTCTTGGGGTTGCCGACATGAACCTGAAAATGGGATGAAGAAAGACGCTGCCCAGTTCGAGAATGCGGAACGGCATCAGACCAATGCCTTGCAGCATGATGAAGCTAGTGTAGAACGGCGACATCTTCTCGATGAATTGGGCAAGCGTAATGGCAATTTTGCTGGTGTCCTTGAGAAAGTCTTGCAGTTCGGCAATAATTGACCAGAAATCGAGGGCAGTTGTAACAAGGGTGAAGATGAAAAAGGTATTGAAAAAGGTGAAGAAGAAGTTTTTAGAGATGAGGGAGAGTTCAATGTCACTCTGCGAGATCATCCCTTGGCAGTTAGATAGCCAATCGTATAAGTATGGGACAGCAACGTTGAGCAACGAGACCACCAAGGTAGGAACACCCGTCTGAAGAAGTGAATGAATGATCTCATGGTCGTCCAGCCAAAGAGCAAATGAAGGTAGAAGACGCGAGATGGTGCACATGCTCATCAGGGACGCAAGGGAAGCAGTGGGGAAAATCCAAACAAGGGTGAGGAAGGTAATGAAAATAGTAATGGTCCACGATTTAAGGCGTCGGATACCACGTAGAGCATAAGTATTTCTCCACACGAGATCTGACGGTGAGGGAGTTGCCTTGGTCAAGAGTCGGCCTGGCCGGGGATCGATCCTGGCTTGAATCACCATCTGACAGGCGGCCACAGAGTCCATCGTAACCAAAGCCATATCGGTAGGTTTAAAGTCCTTCTTCCGGGCCTGCACAATTCTGCCATCCAAGCGGCGCAGCTTCTCCTCATAGTAATCAATCGCATCGACCTGGCGAGTTCGCATTCCAAAGGGACCGTATCGAAGAGTCACCTGTGGCCGTGAGCCATCATCAGACTGGTCCAAGTTGTTTTCGAGGAGTCGACCGTTCTCTCCAGCTTCCTCATCCTCCTGATCGGGGGAAGATCCAGGGGAATCGGCGCCATGACTCAGAAGAGTGTGGTTACCCTTCGAGGCAGTCTGTTGTTGCATCTTCAAATATTTGGCCCATGAGGTTTCCAGACTTCGTAGGCAATTATTCCTTGCGTCCATCAAATCATCAATCTCCTTCCAATCTCGGCATATCGTGACACAATCGACCCGCCCAATGTCAAGATTCTCAATCAGATCCTTGATTTCGTTTTCGTCTCTCAAGTCGGAGGGTATTCCCGTCAGGCGAAAGGTTCGATCGGTTATGGTGGACTGCGTTCCCAGATATTTCTGTCTGAGCTTGACGACCCGGAACGTTTCCCAGTTGATGAAATATATGGTCAAGCCAACGAAGAAATAAGTGAAGATAACATAAGACCACCAAAACGGCTGATCCCCATTGTCAGCCTTGCTTCCATCCCCCTTTGTCAAGACCTGGAACGCAATATCGCTCTCGAGGGACATCTCTTCCGATCGATAGAAGAGATGTGTCGAACCAGTCGAGTGATTACCGAACGGAAACGTGAAATCGCGAAATTGTGAGTTGATAGGCCACATAACAGCAGTCGCAAAGAAGGCCATGATTGCAAATAGTCGAATGGCCATTTTGAAAAAGTTGAGGAACTATAGGGCACACGTCGCTCAGTTAGGCCACGCAACTACTGTGCACGCGAGAGGCACCTACCACAAAGGCATCGAGACCAGCGGTGGCCAAAACCTGCTCCTCGCTAACCTTGTACAGCTTCGGAATCCATCCAAGGAAAGTGTTGGGCATCTCGGGGAGTAGAATATGGGGCTCGAGTCGTCGTTTCCGGGCAGCATATAGCTCCGGCCATCGTGGTCGCATTATCTGTTCCACAACGAGCACAGCGTCAGTCATCTCCTGTTCACAGTCCCCATATCAGGCACGTAGGCATCAACTCACGCAGAACGCGATAAAGGCTGATACGCCGATCAGAAGGGACAGGACAAGCTGGACGATGAGGTCCTTGTCCTCCGAGGGCATCACATATTCTCGGCCGTCGTCCCCGTCCTTGGGACAGTACGATAAATTTGCGGCGCGCATTTTGCTATCATCTGGCGGCAAGACCGTCGACACGACTTTCGGTTCAGGTCCAGCTTCAGCGTCGATTGTTGAGAGTATTGGGCGGGATGCAGTCGCCCCCGTCAATGGAACATGACATCAAACAAAACAAGAGGACTAGCGCCGTCATATGCTGTGGGACGGGTGGTGAGATCAGAGACGCTGAGAGGCTCAAGGCAAAGATACATCTGGTGACGTACTTGGCAAAAGTCAGGCACCAAGCCGGAAGTGCAAGTTCCCGGTCGAGCCGCAGCCTCCGCCAATTAAAACACAACTTCAGCACCACACACAGACTTACCACCCAGATATAACAAAGTTGCTGCACGATACCAAATGAGACGACCACCTTTCGTTTCCAATCGTATGACGGTTTTCTGCTGATTTCCACCTGCATGTTCCGATCTGTCCATCCTGCAGCTGCCCCACCCCTACTTGAAGACTGCGGCAGTGGCGCCGGCACTTGTTTGCTGAGTCAGCCTTTTTTTACAGATGAGCAGGTGACATATAATTTGGGACACTTAAGAATTCACACATTGCTTCCCTCATTTTCAAGTCTATGACTAGTATTATCATTTTGAGCGCTAATAATTAACATATAAAAGGAAATACACTAAAGATTATTAATTTATATCTGTGTATACTACCGAAGCATTCCAGTCACTATGGAAAGCGTTTGTCCTTCAATTCGATGTCTGATTTCTTCTGTCACTCAGCTATAGGGTATGTGCAACCAATCTCGAAGCCACTAACTTCTACCACTTGTGATCAAGAGCTGTTCCCTATCTATATACCTTATGCAAAACATCATCAGTGATATCCTGAAATTACAGGCCACATTTACTACTATGAATATGCTATGCTAAGCTTACACCCCCGCCTCCAACAATACATCAGGAATTCTCATCCCAAGGGAAGCTACAGTCATTCCCCGCCAGCTCAGAAAACAGTAAATCACTCGAGCTCAGCCCTTCCAAGAACGACGACGGCAAGAATGGGAGACCCGAGGGCGACTGGCCCCCCGCGCGACTTGGCGTGATTGTATAGGACGCATCTCCACGGCCCCGGTTCCGCTGCCCCGACGTCCCCGCGTAGAGGCTGTCGAACTCGGTCGGTATGAACGCATCCTGGACGTCGTGCGCATTCACCGGACCAGTAGTGGCAGTCGCAGCAGAGAAAGAATCTCCCTCGTTGCTGGTGCTCCCCCCAGCGGCTGTTGTATCGAACGACGACCCGCGCGTGGGATCCCCCGCCGGTGCGCCCTGAACGCTGCGGATGAACTGGTCAACAACGCTTGTCATCTGACCAGCAGGCTGGTAGTTCTTAGACATCAAGCTGATGCTCAGCCTCAAAGAAGACAGCTTCTCGATCAGGATTCTCCGCTCCTGTGCGTCGGTCTGTAGCACGACCTCGCCCATTAAGGCGGTCGCGGCCGTCCCCGCATGTTGCACGGCCGTTCCATAGACCTTCTCCAGGTCGAACCGCGTCCGGTAGTGCTCGAACATTTCTGCAATCTGCTTGGCGCTCTCCGTGCAGCTATTGCGGGAGAGGTTTGTGAAGTGGCTATTCGCCTCTTGTACCTTTTCGTTGTATCGTACAAACGGCCGGTGCAGGAGAATCATCGCTGCATGGTATTGTGTGCTTTGGACACGTTAGCAGACATGCCTTAGAGCTGCGAGTCACTTGACGGTTCACTTACTGTAAAAGGTAATAAGGAGCCGGCATGGCCGTATGCAGCTCTGTCGACCACTTCAGATGTTTCGGAAGCGATGATTGCCAATCTCGAAGCTGCTGATCGATGGCGGCCAGCTTATAGTACAGCTCCGCGTTCTTGGAAGGCCTTGGCCCTCTCAGATCACACAGTTGGCTGACAATCTCCATCATCCGCAAGAGTGCCTCATATATCCTGGTGGTTGATTTCTTCTCCTGCCAAGACCGCCTACATAAAATCATCCGACTAAAGTCGAAGGACAAGCAGCTGGGTGCGACGTCCGAGGTCTTGATCGTTGTAGGTCGCCCAAGATACAAAGACCAGAGTCTTGTTCTCATTAGAAACCAGCCTTGTGACAACCACAGGTCGATTCGAGGGCACTCACCTGTCAGTAGCCATACACGCCCACAGAACCATGTGCCGAATCTGGGTTTCGCGTTCTGGGAGGAAAAGTGAGCTGGGGTCGACATGCAGTCCAGCATCAAATATCATTCTGAAGCACATCCCTGCTGATAGTTAAGAAGCCGTTACTAACAAGACAGTGTCAACGCATCTTACCAGTGAAAAGCCAGCCGGTATCATCGTTTCCACAGCAAAACTCGAGCCCTCCCAATAACTGGAAAGCCTGTATCGATGGAATGCCGCCAGGGCGGTCGATTTCAAGCTTTGCCAAGGATTTAGCCTTTTCATGCAATGTGGATGACGCATACCCCGGAAGAGTCAAACGCCGAATATCCTCCCTTGTCTTGTCGGCATACCTGAAGCCCGTTGCAAGCATCGTCAGATGGAGGAAGGTGGAATAGAACTCGACGCCGCCATGCTGTTGGTCGCGCTGGAACATATCCAAATGTACTAGATGGATAACGGTGTTGTGCTTGTCCCAAAACAGCTCCATCAGGTAGTTGTGTGTATCTGGACTCAGATCTCGGACAATCAGGACAATCGGCCAATGCGTGTTCCGGAATTGCGGATTCGGACCGGATCCCACGCGGGATAATACGTTCATGTGTGTTGTTGCGCCGAAATATCGTACTCTCCCCGACGCCATATCGAAGCGGATCGCAGACGGAATAAGCTTGGATACCACGGAGGTTGCCTGCTCAGGACACGACTTCCCATCATCATTCGTGCTGGTATTGTCCACCGAAGCCAATCTCGAGGAAGAAGCCTCTGGTGACGTGTACGGCGGCGGTTCTTCTGGAGCCTGTTCGAAAGTTTCTGTGTCCGACTGCTGTGGCGTGCCCTTGGCCTCCTTCAGCTGACTTTCGAGATGACTTATCCGCTGCATCAAAGTCGACTCTATCGCCTTGGCAGATGTACGGCTACATTTCCATTTTGTCAGTCTTGACCGAATAACCTCCTCTCTCACACGCTTTGGTACAAAGTCTCTACCTTTTTCGCCCATCCTTCTCGTCGTAAACGCATTCTTGATCAGTGTCCCGACAACTCTGACACTTCTTCGATTCGGGGTCTAGCACACACTAAAAACATAAATCAGCACGACCGCAACGTCGCGAGCACGTCTCACAACCCTTACTCGAATCCGAGCTTTGCGACACTGCATGCAGGCAGCAGTAGCTCGGTGCCTGTGCCTGGCCGGTGTCTTGGGTTCCATCGTCCAGCTTCTACCCAGGCACCTATTCCGTGCAGCAAGGACAGCCCAGTTCTGTGAATCGGAGGCAGATATTATCCCGGGGTAGATGTTTTGAAACGGGCGCGCTCAGATTGGGTGGTATATTTCACGGGGAATCTGCACTCGAGCCACCTCCCATCCTGGCAATATCACCCCCGTAGGTTAGCCAGATCTAATAATGCCTGCCCATCTCGCCTCCTCATTCGTAGCTTCAACTTTACCGGATAGCTTCTCCGTAGGGCTCCATCACCCCGCCCTCATGTGCCTGGCATTACATAAATACCCCAGACTTTAGGAGAATGCGGAGAACGTTGGTCGAAATACCGTCGTAATGCGCCTGCAGTCACACCTCGCTATCACCCAAGAAGCATAGTCAAAAGGCCATGTGATTAAATTCAACAAACCTCAATAGCTGGTCCATCTTGCGTTTTCAGTCACCGTGTCGGCGCCGAAGACAAGAATCCAACCGACAATCATGGTGTAGGATACCTTGGTGACGTCTACTATAGGTTAGGCGGCGCCAAACTAAAGATCGGCAAGACTAGCACCTCCCCCACCACGGATATGGATTTCCACAAAGACAGCAACTTCCTTCGATCTATGTACGTAGCACGTTTGCCAAGGGTTGCTAGTGAAGGGTCGCTAGTGAATGCGGCTTCCTTCCCAATAGAGAAAGCCAATATTTGGCTCGCCGACGGAGTACACCCTGGAAAGATACACCCTCGCTATCTTAGCCAGTCTCCCCTGCTTTGCGCCCGCCTCGAGTTGTGCTGCTAACAATTTCCGGATAGCAGAGCGTGCTTACTGCGCGCGCATGCAGGGGGTCAGATCGCACAAAGATTGTAGGCTGGGACCACACTTGGAAGGTGCCAGCCTCTATCTCTGTGCTTCGTGGGCGCCCTCTAGCTCTCTATGGCCGCTGGGTCCGGACCGGTTCTTGTGTGCCGTGGAACCGGAATTTCCTCCCAGGCGACGATTGCGTCACTGTCGCCTTCCATTAACAGCGGCCGTTATGGTATCTCAAGATATAGAAGTCCATTTGTGAAGCTGACAGTCGGCGAATGGTTGTTTGTCATACCCCTAAGAGAGCAGGAGCTTAGCCTCCGTGGACGACTCAACATGCAAGTCGTAACGAATCTCTTTGTGCCATGCACAGTAGTGTCACTACCAACAATAGAAGGGCGTAGGAAAATCCCAATTGGTCATCGTTGAATCAGCAAAAGGTGTGGACGTATGCGCAAACAGATGCCGCTCAGCGCTTGATTTGGTACTCCAGGACAGCTGACCGAACACGGCGATACCTCGTTTCGAGCATCAGACCAAATTTCGGAAAGGCCGATGAATGGCATGTGAATCTTGGACTGGGAGGTAAACCATAAATCTCCATAACGGATAAATAAAACTCTCCTTGGAGACACAATGCACTACATGAAGCATCGGATCCAGGCACTGGGCAAGACCTGGTCCTTGCAACCCTAGCTCAAACTCTCGCGCAGCTCATCAGACTAGCTCACCCGGTGCTGGCTATCGATATGTGACAGAATTTGTGTTTTTTTTCCAGATCGTGGGCCTGTTGGTGTGTTCCCTCTCACAGATGAACTCGATAACGCCGATGCACCGGTGGCTGGACCGGTGGCCCTTTGAACGTTGGTGTCTCTGTTTTGCAAGGGGGAGGGGCGTGATGGGCGTTATCGACATCCTACTTCACATCGTTTTCCATCGCCGGGGCAAACGAGGGGTCAGCCAAAGAGAAGACGGAATTGACGAGGTTTAGGTACCGTCACACTCGTAAGATCCGATCGTCACTTGTAATTCGTGGGGTCCCTTTTGCTGCAACTGGAGTGTAAGGCAACCTGAGCCCGACCACTTTCGGGCCTTCTCCGAACAGCCAAAACCCTGAGAGGCTGGAGCCTTGCTGAGAGTCTCACCCGATGCCTACAGCTTCTGTCAAACCGTGTCTCATCCGGGTAGGCACAACGTTATTATTCTACACCGGGCGCATTTGCTGATTTAGATACCGGTCAAATTTCAAAGACAAACCGGGAAATACGCTAGCCGATCAACCCAGTTTCGGAAACATTTGGATAAATAATTCTATGGGGTAGTACCGCTTTGTCCGATGTATCGATTGGCTGTCGTTGTCCGTTGTTATTCGACCGCTATTATATCCAAACAGATTAAGCTAGGATAAACCGCCAATAAGGTGCTGGAAAGTGAAGCCTCAATCCTTGCAGTCATATCGTGTTCAGGCTATAGATATGGTCAGGTACAAATCGGATCAGCAGCAGGGTACTGGGCACAGCAGACTGTCAGCTGATGCACGGTAGACACAACCTGACACGAGCGGTGGATTAGATTGCTCCCTCGTTTCGGCCCCCATCTTCCCTTTCGGCCGGCTCGCAAGGCCATCCCATAGGGAGGAGAATGTTAGGTGATTTCGGCCAACACAAAGTGGTGTCTGATACAGGAATTTGTGTCTGGTAGCTTGGGACTGAAGTTCGTGACTGCTTACTTTTGATCCAGTTTGGTGCTGCGCGATGAACTTAGCATGGGGTAAATAGGCTGTCGAATATAACGTCGACCAGTCACCCTGCATGCTGTTGTGTAATATAATGACGTTGGGGAAGGGGTAGTTGTAATATACGCGCTGCCTCCAGCATGACCCATATATGAGAGTTGAAAAAATCCCTGTAAGACTAGTATATTCAGAGGCTATTCTGGGGTAGAATGCCTAGGAACATCATATATGCAGTCAGTGTATCACAGTTTGAATGTAACTAGCCGCGTCATAAAAGGCTGGCTGCTAGATCGATGTTTATGCACACCCGAGGTCAGGACTTGACTGGACTCGTGCTGTGATCAGTGCTAGAGCGCCCTCACTTTCAAAGCAGATTCGCACCGCCCATCACCAACTTTATCCTGGTGACATAAAGTAGGCTGTGCTTAATGCTATTCTCCTGCTTATCTTAGTTGCATTCGCCGATGGGCTAAACTTGGGACCAAGAATCAGAAAGAGTTGAAGAAGAATAGGTAGCTTTGATGGAGGTGAAGAAAGCATTGCCAAGATGTATTCCTTGGGTAGCGAGTCGCCCAATTCTGGGCTGAGGAAAGCTGAAATCAAAAGATGTGTTATTGCTGGCGATAAAGCTTTGGGGTCCAAGAACCATTGTTGGTGGGACTTTGTCCAATTGAATGTTGAAATTAGGCGATTTAGCGAGGAGGCTGATTTCATGTGGGTGATCCAACATCCAAGCACCGTGGGATCCAATGACAGAGTCTCGCACTTGCCGGCCGCCTTGAGTAATACAACATATGTAGCTTGAGCTGTGGAAGGGCCTAGACGGCGATGCAGGGGGAGCGGCAGAAAATTAGACAGCCAAGATCGGTTGGTAGGACTGTAACGGGAACGCGATGAGGAAACTGGCGTATGAGTTTCCAGAGCTCTCCTGCAGCCTTCGAGCTGAATATTCGGAGGCCGATGATAATCGCCGATGCACCGCGCGCAATTGTTCTACCGGACATGGCATCGATATTAGCCACCCCCTTGGCCAACGGTTTTTTTTGGTGGCTTAAGAAAATGCAAATCGACACCCCATCACGTAGACTGAGCCAGCCACAAACATCTTGTCAATGGTAATAAGATGGACCTGGTCCTCGTCACCTCAACGTCCTCAGTGCGACACCGACTGGTCTTGTGTTTCAATCTTTCCAAGGAATAGACCGACGAGGAACACTGACTGGACCTTGGTCTCATTACCGCAATACTGCTGGGATACCAATATTCCATGTGCTTCAGGCGAAAGGTATTTGCTAGGATGGGAACGTTGCTGGCTGAAGCCCGCGGACGCAGAACCATGCCTCGAAACGTAGAATCATCTTAAAAGAATTGAGATAATTTTCATAACCGATATTCGCATGCTGACGAGCTCGGAATACAGAAACGGCTCGAAGCGTCCGATACCATGTGGCTAGTAGTGGACGCGGAAAGCTGATATAGTGGCGGGATGAATGAGGGAGAAGATTGTCCCCCCCCTGGCTATATTCAGCCCCTGTATCCCTGCTTATGGTCTTGGAGCACAACATGAGCGATATTTTATGGCATCAATAGGGCAAAATAGTTGATAACATCTGTGAAGTCAACGAGGAGTAGAGTTGTATTTCACACGTCCAGGTGACTGTGGAGGGACGAGTAAGCTGGATAATTGAGCGTTGACCAAATAAGTCTTCCGAGTACCTAGTTTGATACCTGGATGGTACATTTGATGCTGCTAGGCAAATGCTTTGAGCATGAGTATCTGATGTAGACTAGATGAACAATCACCATTTGATTAACCCGGAACTGACAATCGTATGTTTGTATACTGCTACAAAACAGCCCGAAGATAGAATGGCTGGTATCTGTTTGGCGTATCTGGCTGGCATCGAAGAAGAGATTTTCCTTGAGAGTTTATCCTTTCTTGAATCGATAAACTGGATGCCCGCACGACCATATCGTAGCTTGCAAGAAGCCCCTGGGCTGGTACACTCGTCTCTGCGCAAGTGGTCAACAGCTATATGAGCAGAATAACACCGGAGGCGCTCGTCCAGCCAAGACCCATCCTTCGGGACTCAGTGGGAAAGATTAGATACACCCCGGCTATTGCTCGATGAGGAAAGTTGGTGAGGGTGTGTGCTATGTGCTCTCACAAAGCCGCCAAGCCATGGATTGACGAGCGATATGCAATAAGCGACGCAAACTGAGCTGATCAATAGGAATACCCGATGTAATATACCAAGCAGAGGCCTCATTCGCTGAGCGGCGATCGAAAAAAGACGGAAGCCTGATCAATTACCGAAGTTGTGGTGGGTGACACTGCGCTTTAGATTTCCTCCCTCGTCGGTTCGAGGAAGGGCCCAACAGATATAAAAGGGTAGGCATTTCTTCGAAGAATTGGTCCTCGAGAGTAGATTCAACCATCTAGACAGACACAGACAGAGGCAGCAACAATCAGTCTTAGACACTTCGTCACTCCGAAAGGCTTATATAACACTTTGGCAATGGCAAACAAACCTTCCGGTAAGTCGCGATCTAAGGCTTTCATTGCGAATAAATGTAGTGACTGAACACCACCAAGGTACCGACAAAGGCACTCTGGCTAGCCTTGATGAGGCTAACCAGAACCCGCCAACGGGCTCGGTTGCCATGAAACGTTTCCAAGCAGAGGGTATTGATGAAAGCCCATGGAACCCACTGCGGGTTGTCATGGCATCGGAGTCGTCCAAGGCCGACGAGGCGAACAAATCAACTAAGACGGCGACTGATGGTTCAACTGCGGCCACCCAAGGGTCGGCTCCTAAGTCTTGAGAGAGTTTTCCGTGTTGGTGCTGTCGTGGGGCGTGAGAGACCCTGCTAGTTTCTGATAGCAACAAAGCATTTTGAACTGTTGTGATTTTGATTTCATATCATGTCACGATCTAGAAGTTTTGCGCGTGATCGAGTTATTAGCCTCGATTGCCAATAAATTAGATGAAAGGGCTCTGATTCTCATGAATGGGTGTCGCGTGACTGCCATATACCACACTTCCATTTCTCGCCGGCATGACGAGAGCCTCATTGAGCCACATTTCATGGAACTCGAGGGTGTAAATTTGAGGTGGTGAAGATTTTCTTTGATCATGCTGCGGTACGGTACTCAGCGAGGGAGATTCTCGAGAAGAATAGGGGACCCAAACGAAGTTTGTTAACCACAAGATTGAAGCGCTTGTCCCCGGCATCGGCATATTCACTGGAATTTTGGAAAAGAGAATGGTTGGTGGGACACGAATGACATTGGGATATGTTGCCTCAGTGGAGTTGGACAGGAAAATCTAGGAGGCTCTTGGAACAGTTGTTGAAGAAGCGGCAACGAAACAGCATCCCGAGCCTGAGGAAAGGAATGTATGTACCTAGCCTGTGGCTCCTTCCTTGACCTACACCGATGCCAGGCAAGAGCAAATAGCGGGCCACGAAGCACTTGACCCAATGGCTGGGCCTGAGCTGGATAAGGAAAGATAAGGTCGCGGGATCCATGTGGGAAGCCCGAGATTGCGCTTATGCATATGTGAGTGCAACATCTTATTAAGCATTAATCTTATTTTGAACTTGATGCTAGTTTATGACACCGCCAGGAAGCTATTTTTTGGGATGCACATACGGAACGGAAGGGACGGGAAAAGGGATGAACAGTGCCCTTTATCGATTGTCTTGTGCTCTTGGAATCCAGTGGGCGATGAAGATGACGACACTGAGTCCGGAAAAGGAGATTGCAGTGTAGCATTATTGATCCAACCCAGATAAAAGCTATCTGTGGCCCAGCGTTCAAGGGTGGTGCCAGCGACTTACATATGGCAGCCAGGGGAAGCCAGTGCCGCCCTCGTGTGGCCCTCGTGTGGCCCTTCGTGTGTGGCTTGGCCGCTCAAGGATGTGTGGTAAATACGAGATGCACACCAGCACTCATAGAGGCTGAGCATAACCCGCGCGCGCCGTCCTTCTGGACTAAGTAGGCAGTCTGAGGATCCGAACGTCACGGCGGCCTCCCTCTCTCCACAGTGCGGGCTCTTCTGCAGGGGCGGCGATTTGGGCCAAGCCGCTGGGCGACAATCCCAGCTGGACAAACTGGGTACAATCTGTAGCCCAACCGGAATGCGATTAAATTTGAACTTAGCGATGTTGTCAGCAGGGTACGATTTTGACAAGCGTAGCACTAATACTGAGTCAGTACGGTCAAGCGTCATCACGATGGACATATCCGGTGTCGAGAGGCAGCCGACCTCGCATTGCCCTGGCGTTGAGTTTAATCGTTGAGTTTAATCGCAGGGCCAGGCTGCGTCCTCTAACTCCATATGCAATGCCAAATAATTACCCGACACCTTACGCCTAATCCCTCTGGTCCTCCCCACCGTCGTCCGGCGAGGATCCCCAGCCTGGTGAGGGAGGAGATAGGTGAGATACGTTACTCCTGATACGGCGGTACCTTCCGTGCTGCTGGCAGCGACCACTTCTATTTCCGGCCCATCTCTCTGTTCTGCCCGAGATACCGACAGCCGCTGCAAAAACACGCGCCCCAACAAGTACCTCCTCCGACCCCACCGAGAAAAACAAGGTCTTCCATGGTGCAACAACTGCCTCACCCAAATCCCCACTTCTTTGCTCCAGGCGTAACCACGTCCATCCCATCCCATTCCAGTTTCCACGGCTGCAATCCTCTCTCCCGCATACAAACACACCCCATCCAATATTTGTCCGTGGGACGCGTCCATACCATCCCTCACTTTGTCGCAAGCAAAGGGGGAAAAAGCCTATCCTCGTCGCTCGCTTTTCCCACGCTTCCTCCGCCCCTTCGGCTTTCGATCTCCTCCGGCCTGTCCGATCGCACTTGTGCCAGTAATCCTTGTCTAAGTCTGCATAGTTGACGTACGACATTTACCCAACCGCCAGCACAACGACCACGACACGACAGACCACGCTCACCGATAATCAGCGCCCATGAGCAGCGAAGTTTGATCTCCAAGACTCATCACACACTCGTTTACACGATTCCTCATATCCGCCACAGTCACGGATCGACTCAGTTAAAGCAGACACGATGGGTGTGTACCTGGCTCTGGATCCCCCGATTATTGTGCTCTGGACCAAATCACTGACCTTTTCTCGGCAGCAAACCAACAACCCATCACCACCATCCCCCCCTTTTCGGACACGGCGAAGCTCCCCTCCTGTGCCGTGGCCTGCCAGCCGCTCTGGGACGCCAATGGAAAATGTGTACCTCCCGCCGTTTCCACAGCCGATGCCTCGGTTTACATGGACTGCTTCTGCAAAGATTCCCGGGTGACGGGATTCTCGACAGCGACCACCGGTGTATGTGACAATGCCTGCGACGCCAACGGCCTGGGCTCAATTGTCACCTGGTTCCGCGGCACCTGCAGCGCTTACGGCGGTTCCCAAACAACGACGACAGCTGGAGGCAATTCTGGGGGTAGTTCGGGCAGCAAGAATCGTGGGGGCGGAGACTGGTAAGTGGATTCGTCGTCTCCTATCTCGGAATGCATCATAACATTTATTCTGTAGGATCTCCAACCATTGGCAATGGGTCATTATGATTGTCATTGTTGTTGTCGCCATCGTCGGTATCTGGGTCGGCGCCTGCATCTGGCGCCGTCGATATATTAAGAAGAAGGATCGCCAATCGACCATCGGCCAGAAACAATCCGGCTCAGCATCGCATCCCTCATGGGGCCCCGGATTCCCAGACCCTGCTGCCTCGGGCCCTAATATCGCCTCGACACCCCCAACAGACGACCCTCGTGCCAAAGGTGTCTTCATGCCCGGAGCCCTGGCCTCCGCCTTTGGTAAAGGCGGTGGTGAAGCCCAGGAGGGCAAAAAGAAGAAGTGGATTGTTAAGGAGCGTACATGATACCGCCACCAGCCCTGTCTCCTATAGCATGATGTCAAGCGATTTTGTTTCTCACATTCCTTTTCCACCTGGACCACAAGTTAGAGTACGGCGTCGAGTTTGTTGGATCATCTATTTCATCTATTTTACTCTGGAGCTTCTGAACGGATATTATTTTTTACTGGGTCGGGCGGCTGGGTATACACAAATTTGGGAACTACTGGAATTCGGATCAAACGGTGATATTTTCCAGTTGTTTTATGTTTCTTTCTCTCTTATATATATCCCTCCCTGTTACACATTTTTTTGGATTGTTTCCGCTGTCGAAGCTGCAAGCGATTCGAATGGCAAAGGGAGGGCAGGCGTTGATTAACCAGCCGATTTCTTCGATAGGGCTGCTACGATGGGCGTATTTCTTTTCCTTCCCCCTTTTCTTTTATTTATTTCCTCGACACGCTTGAATTTGATGTTATTGTTCATTGTTTTTGGATCTAGACATCGCGAGATGAAAAACGATTGAACACAGGCTACTGGGCTAGCTAGCTCTCAAGGTGGAACATTCTTATTGTGCATTTATTATCCGTCCTGTACATACCTAACCCACATACATATTCATGTGTTTGGGCCCTCTTTCCTCTGGCAGAGTTCGGGAAAGTAAATGAGCGCCTCCTAATTAGCCTACCTAGGTACCTTGAGAAACAATAATACGAGAATATAAGCTGGATGATGTCAAAAAATTTCTCACGTTTCATCTGATCTGAACTCGAGTGCGGGTAACTAGGCCTAGTCTCTCGGGAGAGATGGGTAGCAAGGGTAAGGGGAGGGGTCGACTTGATACATTATCTACAACAGGAGTACATGTGAGGCAATTCTGAAACATGAACGGTCGCCTTGATAATTTTGGGTTGCTGTATATGGGTAATCACGTTATGTATGCACCTATGAGTTGTCGCATCATTATTTAATCCCTCTTCACCTCCTGCTCTTCCGCAGCATCCATATACAGGTCGATAAGACAGCCTGCGGACCAAGCCTGCGTCGGGCTCTGTGAATCGATTGTGTTAGTACACGTGTAAGACATGGCTTGAGACACTTCGTTAATGAAGCTTGGGAGGGGGGCAGACTTACTGAATCTGGGCAAGGCTCATTGTTCTTCTGTGTTAGCTCAACTAATCCGGCCCAGACGTTTTCCTTGATCATTTTCTTGCACCCAGCCAGGCGTCGCGTCACTTGTTGGAATGCTTCTGTTCTGTCCTCCCTTGTTGTCCGTCTCTTCAGATCGAATTTTAGGAGCGCCCTTAGGAAGAAACCGGTAGGCCACAACCACTCAGGTCCTTGATGGTAATTGCGCCCCTTGCTTGTCGCAAAGTCCTCGCTGTCCTCACTATTCCGGTAATAGGGTCTGTAGTTCAAGTCGGCAGGGTCAAGAGTGGCCATTCCAGTTGGCCCTCGCAGCACTTTGTCGGCCAGGCAGAGTGCGTGGAGTGCATGCTTGTCATCGAACAGGTCTGGTGCGACCGTCATGGCGATGGGGAAGTTGGCACGAAGCTGGTAGTCTTCGAATTCCTTGCCCGACTTGTATAAGTCTTTGTAGATACCCCTGCGGTTGACAATAGCACTGTTCACATCATAGTTCGCATCTTCCTCCGGTGACTCGGGGACGTAGTAGCACTTCTCAAAATTATCCTTGATTCGGCCTGCCCACTCGTCAAAGGTCACAGGCGTACCGTCGGCCTTTGTGGCTGATTCGTATGGATATTTGCCAGCCTTGTGGAGTTTTGCCAACCAGACCAAGGTGCTGTAGAGGAGACCGGTGATTTCGATAGCAGCGCCGTCACGTGGAGTTCCTGGAACTCCCTTGGAGCCAGCCTTCTCACTCTCACCCATCTTGTCCATCCAGGTTCCACAGTTAGATTGATTGCCACCAAAGATGAGACCAGTATTCCAATCCACCTTGATGTCTTGGTTAAAGCCTTCGTCTTTCATCTGAGAATCAATCTGCGGGCCAGCATTTGCTTCACGATATTGCATCCCTGACGCATGTCTCTGAAGAGCCTCTTGGATAATGTCTTCAATTGTACTATCCTTTGAGTACGTGCGTGGATCATCTTTGGGGAACCAAGTATCGTCATAGGGCAAAAAGCGACGCCTCACTTTGGTCTTTAAGAATTCGTCACCTTCTGGAGCAAGGCGGACGTAGTTTTGGATAGCCTGCAAGAAGAACCAAATAGAATCCCGGGCATTGTAACGAGGCGCATCTCCGCTACTTAATAAGTTTGGAATCATTCCATGCTTCAAAACACTTCCAAAGGCGAGGATGTGTTCTCTTGCTTCTTCAAAACGTCCTGTCCCTAGAAACAGACCTCGAATTGAAATGAAGACGTCACGCCCCCAGCATCTCGCCCATTCGACTGCGAAATGAGGTAGCCCGGCAGCTAGGGATGGGACGGCTTTATCAGGCCACAGAGAAGCTGACTTGACATAACCTGTCTGTTGGACACTTACAAGGGCCAGACTTTGGAGAAACCACTGGCCCATCTGTACATCTTCGCTCATCAATGCAATAGAGCGCTCCTTGCTGGCCACGTATGCTGTCCGGATGATGAGGCCAAAGTACCGAGGAAGGAGGAAGTTTGGGATTTTGCGGATGGCATCAAATCTCTCTTGAAGCCATGTAGCAGGCTTGGAAAGCCGCTTGTACGTCTCGGTGGAGCTGATCCTTTGTAGGCGGCCAACAATGTAGTCCAGTGCCCATTGGCCATCTCGAAGATTTTGGCAGAGCGGATGAGCAAGATTATTTTCTCGAATGATCGGTTCCAAAATGCTCCACCAGCCCTGGAGACCCGCGTAAATCAACTTGCCGTGACCGGGAATATCATAGACACCGTCCCGACCGTCGCTAGAGTCTCTCTCCTCAGCCTCACATCGATATACCAAGAAGTTGAGATCGACCAAATCCAGGTCTCTCCAAGCCTCTTTGGCTCCAGAGGTGACGTATGTATCCAGACCTGCTGAATGTTCTGCGCTGGGGATCCATGTTTCGAACAACGCAATACTACCGGGCGGGAACTTGTCTCTCACTGTAATGACAGTGTCGTCTCCGGTATATTCCATCCTGATTCCAGGTAAGTCAACTACCCGGCTGGGGAGACCTCTCAGTGCCTTCGCGTCGCTAAGCACCTCTCGAGTTGTATCATCGCTGCTGTCAACTTCCAGCATCCAGCTTCCCAGATGCCGGGCTTTGGTTCCCGTGAGAGTTACCGCACTGAAGGCGCCGTTGCCATTTCCATACCCGGGGAATGCCGTATGCGCAATCAAGAAATAGCCCTTTCTGGACTCGGGATGTACCCGGTGGACGGTAATGTATTGATCGTCGTGATGAATGTGCGTCTCCTCATATCCGTCTTTGCCCATCAGTGTGTGGATTTGATTTAACAGCTTCTTCACACCACCAATGCCGTTCCTACCGCCGCCAACTTGAACGGGGGTCGTTCCTGAAGACTCCGACGTGTAAAGCCTCGTTTCATTCACAAGGTCGATGAGCTTGGGATAGATTTCGTCATAACCCATGACACTACCGGTCGCACTCGAGCACATGTTGACAAGAGCCGCATTGGGAAGGGTATCCCGAGCGTCTCGCTTTTGGGCCGGCGTTTCATTGTCGTGTGTACAGTCCATAAAAAGTGCGTGGACTGGGGCAGGCTTGATAGTTCGGATGATCTCTCTCGAGTATGTGCCGTTGCTCTGTGAGCTGTCTGGGCCAAGGCCCGTGGGGCTTGAGGGAGCCGTGGGTGTATCGGATCGTGTGATCTCATCAACCTCGAAGCTTCCAATTGGTCTTCCTCCATGGCGATGCACGAGTCTGCTCAGCTCAGCAGTGCTCCATGCCTGCATAGCCTCACGAATCAGAGAACTCAATCCAAGTCTTTTGACAAAAACGTAATCCATCTCTTCGGATCCAGTGAAGAGCTCAGCAACCACATAGAGATTTGGTCTGACTCTACGCGCTTCGTCAAGAATATGTTCAGCAAGATGGATCGGCGTCGAGTGGCAATTATCAATCCGGAGGCCCGCGAAATACTTGGCAAGCATCCGAGCATACTTTGTCATATGATCCCACAGCCAGGGGTTATCCCGAGGGCCAGACCCATATCTGAGCTTCACGCAGTCGCCCCAAACAATTACCTCTCGACGAAGGTAAACCCGTGAGGTAGGCCCTGCATTATCAACCAACGCATTTCCACCCCAGACCCACCCGTTGTTTACCAGCGCTTTCTCTCCCGGTTCAAGTTTGGAAGTGGTGTCGTTTTCCGGCAGGCGAGTAAAGTATGTTTCAATCAGCGGGTTTGCGTCGTTGATGGGGCCCAATTTGGGGCCATGATCATCCAGGCGTACATATTTGATGCGATTGAACAGTTGCTGAAGTATTTCGTCCACTTCGGCATCATATTCCTTGTAGAACTCAACATTTAGGACGTCCAAAAGCTGAACAATTTTAGCCTTTGCGGCAGCTTTGTCAGGTCCATTTGTACCTTCGCTGTCGTATCGACCCAAGGTAAATGATAAGAAGCTGGATGCAAGCTTGGGGTCGATCTTGCGGCGGAAGCGCTCGCCTAGGCGATCAGTGCCTCTCTGTCCAAATTTCCTCACGAATTCCACCTGCTTCTCCAGGCTCGTTGTTGCCAAGTCTCCGATGTCCCCAGGGAAATCAAGGCCCTTTTCTGGGGTATATGTCTCCTTGTTGAGCCATGCGTTTACCGCAGCCTCAGCATTGTAGTCGACATCGAGAACGTAAAACTCCCAAAGTCGTATCTTAGCAACGACCTCTTTCTTGATCGCCTCCATAATGACCGTGAGATCATCATTTGATTTTATCTCGGTGGGAAGTCCAAGTTCGGTGAGCCGACCACTCAACTCAAGCAATTTGGAGTCGAGGACAAATGCTGATTCTAACCAAGGGGCGGTAGACATGTTGTAACCTGCTTCTGGATGGTCCTCAAGCCAGGCTGTATTATTTGAGGTGTGGTTGAGGACAATATCGGTCAAACTCAATAGAGAATGGTCCTTCTCCAAGCTCTCCACTAGCTTCTGAACATCTTTTTCGCCATTCGGGAAGCTGGCAGGATCCCAACCCAGCTGGTCGTATAAACTGTAGGGGGAGTTTGATTCACCTCGGACTTGAAGAGGTGTAAAATGAATCATATTGTAGCCACGGTCACTGATGCCTCTTAGATGCCGCTCCCAGTCCGAGGGGTATTTGCCCATGAACTTGCTAATGACAGAGAAAACGGACAGGGCAGGAAGGGGCAAGGGCCTTCCGTCAAGCTTGAGCTGGGGCGCAACGTCGATATAGTAGAGGGGCGTTTTCTTGAGGTCATCGCCGGAGGAGGCATTGTCGCCCGAGCCTTCTGCGCTCAGCTCCGGAAGCTCAGCGTAGGTCGCGTAGAATGCATATGCGCCGGGCTGGTAGACGGGCACGGAGATCTCGATGGTGCGATTGAAGTCGGGAGAAAGTCTGCAGGAAGTGGTCAGTCCAAACATTGAGCTATGCAAAGGCTGAGGGAACAGGCTCCCACTTGAATTCCCTGAACTTGTCGCGACGGAATTCCTGCCCACTCTCGGGGATGTTGACCCAGAGCGTTCCATGACGACATATCGACGAGGTGCCCTCAATTGCGAAGCGGATTACCAATGGGTCGTCCAGTCGCGGCGCCAAATAGATGTATTCACCGGCGACATCAGGCGACCCGTCGTCTCTGAGTGGCAGTAGATAAACCTCGCTGGACGTCATGGTTCTCGGTATCATGATGAAGAAAGAGAGAAGCGGGAGCTCGAAGCTGCCCCGCGGCTGGACATAGGCTCTGCTGGCTGCGACCTCTGCAAGGGGCCAGGATGACGATCTCGCCCACTATAAAGTATGGAGCTGTTCCAAGCTGTTACAGTGCTATCCGGAGCTCTGTTGCCCGCGAACGGTTACTGGCAGTGGGGCTTCTGGACGACGGTGGGGAGCTGCACCGCGCTACCTGAGGTAATGCTATGGTAAGACAAGGACTAGCGAGGCAGAACCAGGACGAAAACTCAGAGAAAAGAGAGAATAGGAGACGAGGCGGCATATTTTAGGGAGATAGGGCAGGTTTTATTAACGACGAGTTTTGAGCTAGACGGCTCCCTGCGCCAGGAGCTCGGAGGCGAGCGGTCGGATGACAATGACGGGCAAAGAGGTGTGGGTGCGCGTCAACCCCGTGGCATCTGCACGCTCACCTCCTGACCGACTGCCAGCTTCCGTATTTCTCGGCCGTGATGGCCTTTTCCACGGCTTGCTGCCATCCAGCTTGGCCTGCATCTGTCCTGGGTTGCTGCCCTGCTTCCTAGGGCTGGGAGCTACCTATCCCTGGATGGAATGCGAGAACCAGCTAACTTGGTGATGGCCGGCTTGGGTTAGGGAGACAGTTACCGGCTATCGAGGTTAGGACACAGCTACCTTGGTGCCTTCCCTGCTTGGCTGCCCACCGGTCTGCACAAGTCCCTTCTTGCCAGACTTTACGCCAGCCGGTCAATTTAGCAGGTGCGCTTCAAGTCGTTCTGGCCCAGCTACCATCACACTCTGAGAGTTTGGGAGGAGACCCAGTGCAACCTCAAAAGCATGCCCAGTATCGTGGTACCTTGCAATGACTTGCGCGAAGTGCGTCGTTCGTCACCGACTCGAGTACTGGGTATGTACTGGGTACGCGCATCTGCCTCTGGAGGGTGGTAACAAGCAAGACGCTCAAAACGAGGCACAAGAGGAGATGAACCAAGATAGTAGCAGGGATGGGAAAGAGCATGCATGCACGAGCTTGCATGATGATGTAATGGACCTGTAAGCGACCACTCACCGGCACCAATTCAGGAGTCCACAGTCCGCGCCATCGCAACCACAGCACTGGAACTTGGAAGCTGGCAGTTCCATCCAGAACAGCACATAGAATGGCTCTCGAAACAGCGTGGACGCTGCTTCGATTTGCCGATTTCCTCTCACCGCATCAGAGAGCAACACTGCCGCCAGTTGTCAAAATGGTGCCAAATCTGCCAAGGGTGATAGGCAAAGCTTGTCCCACCTTGGTATTCTCACCAGCCTCTACGTTGGGGCCTTACTGAATCCTATTCAACGAGGGAATTCTTCCCATTTGAAGCACGAAGCTTACACCGACAATGTCAGGAACATCCCATTAGAGAGTAAGCCACAGGTTCCAGGTTTTTGGAGCCTTGGTGGATTCGAGCTAAATCCGCATGCTAGGCCAAAATTTCCCGCTTGTGCCATTCGCGACAGCAAAATCGTCCGATCCGATGGAGCTTACTCTTTCCAAGCATGGATACCTGTTAGCTCAAGTATCTAATTCCGGGATACCGATGAGCCTGCGAATCGAACGCCATCGGCAGCTTGTGCTTTTTCCCCCTATGCCATGGATCTAAAATATTGCCCTTGTCAGGCTTAGCACAACCCCCCCTTTACAGAGCAATGCGCCTCAATATGCAACCAGAGCACCCTAGGAGAATTCAGCAACCTTGGAAACTCTCCTCCGGGGAGATGCCGTCCCTGTCGGTGATGAGACAGTCGAGATCCTTTTCCTTTTTTTTAGCCCACAGGCAAAGAATTGTAGGGTTGCTCTCACATCCACACTATCTCTCGTGACTCTGGGTCCTCAATGGTGCTGGTTGCCTTTAGCTGCAGTCTGTCATATCGTCGGGATATAAGAAACCTCAACTCTGAAATAATAGGCGCAATTTCATCCTTTTCGTTGGGGGATATATGGCTCAACCATCCGACTACACCTCACGGTTTGCTAGATCTTTCCCCTTTCTATGAGAGCAAGAATACCAGCATACAGCTTGTGTATTTAGACATCTATTCCTCCGCAGGGTTGCGCAAGAAAGAGTCTAGTTGGTCTCATACACTTGAAGGTTTCCTAAAGCCTATCTCATGGACATGGGTCGGCATCAACACATCATTCAGGGCTATAAGGTCTTTCAACTGGCATGCTGACGAAGCCAGCCCATTCAGTCATGCTTGAGGCTATGACAGGCCGAGTCAGTTCAAACTCACACATCGAAAGTCTTCTCAAAATCAACGTGGGCTCTCATTTGACAGAATCTGAAGACTCCCTACCATTTATCTCATGAAAAGCTGTCAGCTTTGTACGATTGTCAAAGTTCTCCCAAGCTCCACAAAGCCCCTATCAGCAATCAGCCCGAGAAGTTCCACCCACGCTTCAATCGAGATGATATTGTCTCTCATTCCCCTAAATGATAAACCAACGCCTTCTCAAGACCCAGTTCGCCTACCCGGCGCCAGAAGACATAGGTTTACATATAGCTCACTCGAAGGTTTCCTTAGACATCTTCACAGCAAGACCGTTATTCTAAGAAGGACTCTAGAGGCACAATTTTATGCATTTGGATTTTTTTTTTGGCGATCATCTATCGTTTCAATTGAACCGATCGGTTGCTAGGATTCCAGCCCAAAACCGTTCAATACTTCCACGGTTGTTTTGGTTGTCAAACAATCCGTAGACAACCTCAAGATTCTTTTTTGCACACTCCGACACCATTATACACCTAGTACAGACCGACAACAACATCACCCTTGACACGGGCAGTCAAGTGAACCTCAGCTTCAAGGTCGAGCTTGATACCTAGGAGCAGGGAGGCATCCTTCAGCTTGCCATCACTGGTGGTGGCGCCCTTCAGAAGCTGGCCAGCAGGGGCAGCGAGGCCAGTAGAGGTGGGGAGAGGGACAAGAAGCTGGCCCTTGCTGTTGTTGGCGGCGCCACGGGCAGCACCACGACGGCCACCGGCGGCCTGGCCGTCGGAATCGGAGTCGTAGTTGAGGGCGGAGGTGGGGCGAGCCTGGACAGGCTTAGGGGCAGGAGAAGCGCTGGAATCCATCGTCAATACCAGTGTGACAAATGATTGCTTTGTCTTCCAAGCCCAAGACGAATGAGAAAGAATTGGCCAGGCATTGGACGTCTCAGCTGAGAATGGGGGGAGACTCACTCAGACATTGTGAAGGTTTGGAACGACCGGGGAATTAACGGGTCGTATAAGGGAGATCCCACGGGGGACTTTTGGCTTTTAGGTGTTGACGGAATTTTGACTGATTTGGGGGATTGAGTATGGTAGGGACGAACCGGTGGCTAAGGTGGGCTCGGGACAGCTTTATATACCTGGATGGTTACTCCTAAGCTTGACCTGCTCGGTGTCTATCGGACGAGATGATCCTCACGCGATCAGGCTCATCTCCAAGCCCCATCCAGATGGGCCACCGATCGAAAAAGTCTCGGCTCCTGCAATCACCGACCAACAGGCCGTTCCCGCAGGCATGCAGCGGCAGGAAACCTCCGTGGGCGGCTGCGTCAAAAGAAACGACTACGCACCCTCGCACCCACGCGTACGACACAAAACGCACCCACCAACATCCACCATGGGGCGTAGCGGCATCGCCAGCACATCAAGGCGGTTCCAGAGGGTAGGTGAATACAGCCACCACAGAAGAACCTATCAATAGGCTGGCAAGTGAACTGGTGCAAGCTCTCGGCAAGTGGGTCATTTCAAGATGGCCCCATGTTCACTTGTTGTAGCTGTACAAGCCTACTATGTTTTGGGGTTCTCCTGTCCGAAATGAGGGATGCTGTCTACCTTCTGTGCTATAATATGGTATGGCTGCTCTACGGTCGGCACTCAAATACATCCACAATGTCCTATGGTTCGATTCCAGTCTTGGTGCTCTGATTAAGGGGGTGTGGGTAGCCGGAGCTTCCAGCTTTCCAGGACAAGCAGGATATTTACAACTTATTACAGGGAGACCGGGGCGGTGGAAGAAGCAAGAACTCAATGCAGAGCAGGCCAGCGAGTCACAAACATCCAATTCAAGATGGCTTTGATCATTCGTCGAAGTCTTCCGGACCGGGTTGGGCTGGGCTGGGGGTGGAGCAGAGGCCGGGGTTACTCGATCCACCGAGCTCGATCTCACCAGATACTCGAGAGACACCCATGGACATAGACCGAGAGAAGGAGACGGAGCAAGGTCTTTTCTCGATTGGCCTCTCGTATCGGAGCACGCCGGGTATCTGTGGGGAAGCGGGCTTGACACGTCAGTCGGCTTGTAGGTCGGTAGGGGTGGCCAATGTTTCGCATGAAATCTAATCTGCAACCTGGTGCCAGTCATCCACAACAACTCACGACGCAGAGACACGCCCCCCCATCTCCTCACTCTCCCTCGGCCACTCTCTCCAATGGTGAGCTGTCTGGCTGCGATGCCGATACGTCGAGCGACAGGGACATGGCCTCGACGGAATTTCTCGCCAATGCCTCTATATTCCCGCTCTGCACTCTGGGGGCTTTTTCATGTGGAAAATGGCATGATTCGCGCAGGCTGGACCAGCCTGTAATGGCATAATTCAGGTCAGATCTCTACATAGTGGCGTTCACGATCCAGGCACCAGTAAAATGCCGCGAATCGGGAAAGTACATGAAAGTACCAGAAGGCCAGCCAATCCGGTGATATAGGCGCTTAGCTTCTGTTTCTCGACCGACCCGACCATGCCCTGGGCCCAGAGCACGCACGCCTCCTCTATCTGTTGCATTATTGCATGAGATTTCCTGTACTTTTAATATTATTGTTGTTGTTTTCGCCAAAAAGAATCCAACAACTGGGTCTTGCGTCTTTGCATTGCCTCTGCTGCCTTCTGCTGCGTTTGAGTGGACAAGAGTGATTCGCTTGCGCAAGACGTGGCGAGGAGTCGAAAAAAGGAGAAAGACTGCTACCTCCCATGTCCCAGCCGTCTGATTCTGATCAGACATCTCAGCAGACGTCGGACCAGACACCACAACAACAGGCTGATCAGAGCAATCAGTCACAAGAGAACGCTGAGCAGACAGCGCCGCCTCAAGCTTCCGATCAACCACAACAAGAACAAGAACCTGGTCAAGCTCCCGAGCAAGACCCAGAACAGCAGGCGGAAGAACTCCGCAAGCTAAGAGAGGCCTTTAACGCTCAAACTGAACAGGCCGTTGATCTAGAGCTTGCAAAAGTCAAGGAAGCCGTCCAAAAGGGAGATCCACATCAAGTCGCCATGTCTCTCTCTGTACTGTTAGCCCTCACCATATGCCCAGCTATGCTGGGCTCCCAAGAGGCTATCCGCCAGAGTCAGTCAAAGTCTCGCAGAGAGGAGCACAGAGCTCGTCGATGCAACTTGGTGGTATCCTGTGTGAAGCGATCCATCCGGAGCCGCGACATCAACAACAAGCTAGTCGTCCTCAGAGATAACAAGGTAGTCCCCGTCTGCTCTTACCAACTTCATCCATTATTCACCAACCTCTATACTAACTTAATTCTCTTGCGCGCAGCTCTATATCTCAAATGAATTTCCCAATGAATACAACGATGACTCTCCACCATCTGATGATGGAGGCTATCCCTTTGCAGGATACTTCCTTCCCTACCCCGATTCCAAACACGAGGGCTTGGTCAGTACCATCATGGACGAACCCCCCATTTTGAACTGGATCTACGTCGACAAGGAAACCTATGAAGTTAAGTACGGTATCCGTGTTGATGCCCAGCCCAACCTCACCGGTCCTTTTGACTGCACCAAGCAGGATCGACGTATGATCTTCGATGGTTGGGAGGGTTTCTGTGCCGTTGAAGAAACCCCCGGTGTTTGGGCCGTCTACTTCGATTGCGATGATGATGGTCTGAAGACAAAGGTACCCATGGGCACCAGAGTCCTCGAGATCGAACTACTCCGACGTGAGAAAAAAGAGAGGAAACCTACGGATGACGAGAAGCCCAAGAATATGGAACAAAAGATGGCCCAGCATAAGGCACAGACAGCGGCCGAAGAAAGTGAGAAGGCTGCTTTCCTCAAGGCGGAGCAGGACGCTGGAGCCGGGCAACCAAATGGTACGACAACCGATCAAGGTGATACTCCCAAGCCCAGCGAACCAGTATACAGCCCTGGATCGAACACCCTTCCTGACCCAGAGAAGCTTAAGAAGCTGGAGGAGACGATGCGCTCCCTCAACATCATGAACGGGGCCTTTTCCAAGGTGAAGACCACCCCGCTGGCCAACCATAACGCGAACAACAGCCCTGCGCCGAGCGAGACAACTCATGACCCGGCAGGCTGGTCAGACAGCGAGAAGCAGGGCGGCGCAGATCACGAATCGATGACGGCTGCCAGCTCCGTCTATAATGAAGCGGCCAAGAACGCAAAGAATGACAACGCAAACGATGTTAACGATTACAAGAAGCCGTATGTTGAGGAAATAAAAGGACCTGAAGTTGACTAAAAACTTGTATTACCTGTATGAAAAGTCGCTCGCCTCGTTCTCTCTTATCCCCTTTCTCTCATCTTTATTTTTACTCTCTTTTTGTTTTTTTTTCCTATATCCCACTTATCATATTGTCTTAATATGCAGTCATTTTACAAAATGGTTATTAGGGCGGATATGAAATTGCCAGCATTGAGGATGCGTCCATTACATATATTATCTGCTCAAGATTTGATCACACTCATGTCATCCTCAAAACAGGAATGCCACAAAGAAGTGGTTGGTTGATACCAAAATAAGCATAACAATCGGGTTTTCTAGCGTGGGATATCATTGTCTATTTCCATCTTCCTCACTCATACGAATCAAATTGGGCATTCAATTACTCTTGCACGTTTTAGCCTCATTGACTTCTCGATCTACGCTACATTCTTCAGACGATTTATCTGCGCCTTCGTGGGAAAACTTCATAGCGATACAGTACAATTCCTACGTCACGACTCCGGCTATGACAAGCAGCCATACATAGTAATGCCCTGATCTGCAGCGGGTCACCGTCCATTTCATCCCCCCACACCCTCGCACGATCCAGGGACATCCAAAGGCATCCCCAGCTGTATAAAGCGAGTGCCAGTGTTGCTCGCTTTAATGCAAGGGGGCCCCATCCTTGCAAGGTGGCTAGTGTTTGTCATCACGCGGCATGGGAAGGGGAACAACCGCCCTTAACCAGCCTATCGCCTCTGTTTAGAGGCTGGTTCTGTTAAAATTCAGATCCATATATACATAGTAGAATCAGAACCCAAGCAGTCAAAGCTAATTGCAGCTCAGGCGCTCATACGAGAATTGAATGGTTCAATGGCTGACAGGCCGCGGAGTTTGCCCTTTCAAACACGGATATTTTTTCACCGCCACATAAAGCAGATTACCATGTGAAGACATCTACCTCCAAGAAGGCCAAACTTGGTTGACGCAGGAGGTGGTTTTTTTACAACGCTTGCTGGGGCCCAATCCACATCTATGCAAGACAGCGGATCGCACCACACCCAACTCACACTCTTTCTCCTTCTCTCCCTCAAGTGTTGCCTACTCTCATTGATTTTTATCTTTCTCATGCCCTCATGGCAAGGTACCCTCTGGTACTCCCGTGCTTGCGGGGCTCCTCGACAAATATCGAGTCCCGTGGTTGGGGAAAGTCAATGCTAAAAGTACACTGCACCTTGGCGCAGCGGATGAACAACTCATAGTGGTATTACCAAGAAGGCGGGGACGAGAGATGTTACCTCAGCGAATTGTTGTCGCTACAACTGGAAACACTCCCAATATTCATGCGAAAATATCCGACATGCTGCACATCCCGAACCGTACCATGGGTTGCATCATGCTCTTAGAATGGTACCATCGCCGTTCTTTTGGATGGCATTTCTCCTCGTTCTAATTAATTGGAACGAGAAGGGAGACCATCTGTCCGAAAATCTTGAACATGTGACTACACAAGGTTGGGTCGTCATAACTCCCTCAGCCGCTTCCCAAACGTTCATGCGCAAGTCTCGGCAACTATGAGAAACCCGACCGGCCGCTGAAAATCGGCAGATCCCTCGGAAGTAGCTAGGTAC